AATGTCTAGTTTGTAATAAATGAAAAAATCAATCAAACTTAATTTCCGATGTATTTTTTATTCTACTTTGAAATATTTTATTATTTTAAAACATATGTAACAATAATCCATTCAAATATAGGCCAGTTATTTCTACTGATCATCTAACAACTGCAAAAATGCCTAACATTGAATAACATTTAATAAATGTATACCAATATCATCTAATACATAACAATTACCTTAAACGTACGGCTACTTGCGTTTTTTTTCTCAAACATTACGAAATACTGGCAACATTTGCCATTGAAAGTATCCGTTCAATTTATAGCAATGAGAATACACAATGATTATTTTGCCTGTTACCAAGGTAAAGCCAATTTGACAAGAGATCATAATCATTTTGTGATGATCCATGGTAAATTTTGAATTTGTGGTTCGCATAACGAGGGCAAAAACAAATTAATTAATATAAATAGAATAAAAACGCCGGAGAAAGTGTTGATATAATATTAACACACTTCGGATGCAGAGCACTTGTGGTTCGAGAGAAATTTATCGCTTTTGTCTATTTTTCAATTTTTTTTTTAAAGTGTTGGCAAGAAGTTTGTTAAGAAATTTTATACGGTCGGAAGGTAAACCAATGATATGGACTGCTGAATATACATGACAAAATAATTTAAAAATGTGACTGACAAATGTTACATAATGTTGAGAAAATGTAATTTTTGGGATAATTATAGTAGGACTACAAAAATAGGTCATCTTTGTGAAATCAGTTCATAGAAGTTAATGCAATCAGTAAAAATATTACAAATTTTACATCGAAACGTAGTTGATAAAATCACTTATTCAAAATATTCACAGAAAAGCAAAATCATTTTTAATTCAAAAGAAATGTTATGATTAACATATAGGAATTTCAAGGTTATGGAAAAAACTGAGCGTTTTAGCAGATCATTTGTTAATTGCATCACTATTTTCTATGATCTCTCATTATGTAAAATTGAAAATTGAGAAAAAATATGAATGATAATAGATAAATGATAAAAGTATCTGTGGAATCAATATTAAACTATTAAAATTCATGAACGTATCTAAGAAATTTAAAATAGATCACTACTGAAATTGAATGAATAAACGCATGCTATTTAAATATTTAAAAAAATGCATCTATTTAACAAAAAATTAAACAGTTTCATATGATAGAGATAATTTTAAGTCGATTTAAAAGATATATTAATTGATGATTATGAAGATTCCAAGTTTAATATTTATCAATAAATATTTGATCAAACTTGAATTGTTAAAATATAGAAATGCAAAGAAGTGCAATTTGATAAAAAATGTGAAGTAAATCATAAAAAATGTAAGTTCAAACACAATTATGTGTTTCTTACGATTATATAACACCAAACTGTATCCGATTTGACAATTATAATAATTCGATTTGAACACAACGTAATTTAAAAGAAGATTCATATTATTGTTGACTAACTAATTCCGTGTAGCATTTCGAAAATCCCGCTGAGCTTTTTCGTAATTCTCATTTGCGGCGTTTGGATTTTGTCATTGTCTTACTCGCTACCTCAGGTTGCTCAATAATTCGCAGAGACTCTTAAAATAGGTCAAATAGGACATTGAATCTAGTTAAATTTATTTTATCATCAATTATAATAAATGATAATATAAATATAATAATAATAAATAATGAATGAATTAGATAAAAACAGTATTTTGCTTCAAATACGACAAATTCTTATATTAAGTAAATAAATCAGTAGGTTGCCGCGTCGTTTTTTACAGCTCGCTTACTTAAATTTCCAGTTACGGTTTAATATACCATAACCGAGTTGGATTTTGAAATTCGTTATTAAATTTCATTACATTTGTAAATAATAAAAAAGAGCGTTGGTAATAATAATTTGTATATCACGCTTCGAATAAGCCAACCTTGAGCAACTGTTGGAAACGTTTTCGCAAAATTTCATTATGGATGGACACAAAAAATATTCTAAATTGATTTTTGATGCATTTTGAATAAAAAAGTAATAAATTGAAATAGGCAATTTGTTAATGATGTTTTTATATGTGTTGATAATGAATTGCTGCTGAAATGGATAGATTATTTACACTGTAAACTTTTTTAAAGTGAGAACATTGCTCTAAGACAAATCATTATAAATTCTCTATAAATATTAAAAATTCCTATGCAAGTTATGTACGTCTTATAAACTCTTGCGTAAATTTATTGCACTGAAAATAAAATCCGTAACAAATTCTGATAAATAAAATAATTTAACTATCTTTCACTAAACTTTTACCTTACATAATTTAGGTAATAGCTATTACGGAAAATAAAACTGTTGTTAATTGAACTGCGTTCGTCATATCCATGCAACTTCTATATAAATTGGGTAATACCATTTATATTAAAGCTGTTGATTACACATGCCAAAAAAGAGCAAATCACTAAAAAAAATTATGATCACGGCATACGTGTTTTTGATCTCTGATTTCCATAATAGTAATATAATAATTTGTTTACAAATCCATTAGGCCTTGCAGCGATTGATTACATAAAACGTTCAGAATAGTTATTATAGTTGCAATGCTGTTTTTTAATATCTAAAACACGATTTTTCTAATAATAGCTCATGCATTTTCTTGTAGACAGAACTTATGAATAATAAGTGGCTGATCCATCATTTCCAATAATGAAAAATATGCTTGGAAACAATATAGTCGATGTTTGATACTTCCTAGATGACTACTACACAATTATACAATATTACTAGAATTTATTTATGAAAGTAACAAAATAAATTCTTCAATAAGCTTTATTGATTTTATAATTATCACAAACAAGAAATTTTGGTAAATAATCTCTGGTGACATTTTCATTATAAGTCCTAATATGTTCAGTAAAATACTAATCTTCATATGTTCAAAAGTATTTTTCTTAAAATTTTCCTTGTGTTCCTACTTCCACTACTTTTATAAATTTTTCTTCTGATTATGACTTCTTGATTAAATGAAATGATAAAGATTTTTAACTCATCCTTTCAAAGACAATTGCCGTCAAGAAGTTTACATATGATGAGAAATAGATCAAGTTTAGCTTCCAGCCAGTCGTCGAAATCTCTGTTATCAGCTTTACCAATACGTTTAAATACACATTTTTAGTAAGATTGATATTAATTAATTAATTAAAAAGGACAGTTGGCTTATATATATATATATATATATATATATATATATATATATAATGAATAAATAAATAATAGGTAGTGCTGCTCTGGAGAAGGTCCGTGAGCTGAGTTAAAGTCCAACTCGGTTCAGAGAAAAATAGCGTGAGAGATTTCTCATTGCCATTTCACACCGCAGTGCTTATTTTCAATTGAAAACATATTTTTGATCTATATTTTAAAGTGAAAATCGCTGCTACCCGATGTCTTATATGTGTATTTATATGTAGAAACAAGAAACTATTACTTAAAGCCTTTCCTTTCGAACACACCTCACTAAATCTGTATAATATGATCTACTATTTCCGCAAAACGCACGACACACGGCGGCTTTTCAAATACTGTCTCTTACACCCGGAAGCAACAATTTCTTGTCAAAGGAGAAATAATCGTTGAGTTAGCCGAGCCAATAAACTTGTATATAATGCACGATTTAATTGGCTAATGGGCATATAAAATTACGCAATAATAAAAATAATCGTCTGGTACAGTTGAAGAATGAAAAGCTCTTTAAAAACAGCGCTGGAGGAAAAATGATATGTTTCTCTGACAACAAACTCGTTGTTTATTTTTTTACGTAAGACTTGACAAATAATGTATAATTAATTAAAACCTGTAAGTTATCTTACACAGATAATAACCAATATTTTCCAATCAGCGCTTATCGATTCCCGCAGGCAGAATGTATGGGATATCCCAATCGGATTATGTAGGTACTTCTGTTTTTTTCTCAATTTCATGTCGTAATTAAATATATTGAAATTAAATAAAAGAAATAAATAGTGAAAGGTGTTATAGAATGCATCAGGAAGTGCGGATGAATGGTTTAGTCTGAGAAAATGCAAACAAAAATAAAAACAGCTATAAATTGACAAAAAGTGAAAAAACTGACTAGTACTTATTGCAAGTTAACTGACTTCTTGACTCAGTTTTAATAGAAATAATAATAATAAAATTGATATGGTATCTATTTTTTTTTTCAAATTTGTATGATCAAATATAAAAAAGCAACATTTAATTAATGATGAAAATATTGACTGCTAAACAAATGTGGTTAAAAACACTTTCATACCCAACGACAATTTATGGTCGTATATTATGTACAAATTTCACAATACCATATACATAAATTGTTCTGTAACCGCAAAATATCAACATTGAGATGGATCATACCTAAATCACAAACAAGTTCCTTCTTAGATTTATTGACTATCTACAAAATAATGTACTGAGAGAATAATACCAGCTCATATAATAATAATATTAATATCCATTGAATGAAAAACAACTTTTCTAATTGAAGATTCTCATAAATATGTAAATATTGCAGCTTCAATTAGTTTGTACATACTTAACGATGTTTTAATATTTATTCATTGCAAATTATAGAAATATAAATATAACTCGTGTATAAACTTTACTATATGATAATAAACTATAAATCATTATTTATGATCATAATAAATGAGCAGAATCTTAAGATCCTAACATAAACTCAGTCAGTGAAGTCATATTTGATTCCAAAAATTAGTAGATGTATCTCAAAACGTTATTTCTACAAATCTATTCAAACCTACTCATTTTAATATTTTGGTTTGAAATGTAACATTTTCAGATTTTTGGAACTAAATGAACAATTTCATAAATCAATAGTAATCAGCAATAGTAATAAGACCAATTTTGATAAAACAAAAAAAAAATTTACAATAATAATGAATATTCAATGAATTTATTCTTCAATTCATTTCTAATTTTTCAATCTATTCTTTCCAGATTCACACGAGTATGAGTACGGATGACCTAAGGTCAGTTTTTCACGTAGACCACATAGACGACGTGCCTTCGTATCAAATTGTGCCTTTAGAAGAAATTCGAAGAAATAAAAGAGAGACGGCCTCATCTTCAGATGAAGATGCAGGTGGTACAAGAAAAATGAGATTAGAAGCTTTCGGGAACAGGATAGATTTGGTCCTCAAACCCAATAAGGGTTTGATAAGAGGTGATAAGATTCGGATGTGGAACGCGGTGGCCGATGCTAATAGTACTGATGGGATGCAGTATGAAGAAATTGTTGAGGTAAGAAAATAATAAATAAATTTAAAACAATCAATAATAATTATTTGATAATTAAGCCATGAACAGTTCTTGAGACTATGCTACCATTTGGGACTTTTTGAATTTCAAAGATCTATAATTTAACATCAATGATAACATCTTGTCCGATTCGACAGAAAGTTTAGGTAGCAGACGTCAATTAAGTCCAATTCTAAATAACAACTTATTTTGCAATGCCATTTGAAGTGGTATCCAAAGTTTTACAAGTTCAGACTAGACTGTCACCTAATTGACCCATTAGCAACCAATTTTTAATAAAAAGCACATTAGCAATAATACAGTTCAACGTTCAATGAGCAAAATAAGCACTTCCATAGATGATGCTACAAATTGGAACTTTTTGAATTTCAAAGATCTATAATTTAACACCAATGATAACAACTTGTCCGATTCCACAAAAAGTTTAGGTAGCAATTAAGTCCAATTTCAAATAACAACTTATTTGCGATGAAATTTGAAGTTATGTCCAAAAATTTACAAGTTTAGGCTAGACAGTCACCTAATTAACCCATTAACAACCAATTTTTAACAAAAAGCACATTAGCAATAATACAGTTCAACGACCAATAAGCAAAATAAGCACTTACTAAGATGATGCTACAAATTGGAACTTTTTGAATTTCGAACATCTATAATTTAACATCAATGATTACATCTCATCGGATTCGACAAAAAATTGAGGTAGCAGACGCCAAGTCCATTTTCAAATAACAACTTATTTGCGATAAAATTTGAAGTTATGTCCAAAAATTTATAAGTTCAGGCTAGACAGTCATCTAATTAACTCATTAACCCAATCAAAAACAATAACTTTGAAGAATTCTATAAAACGCACAAAAACAAAAAAAAGCTCCCGATTTAAATAGAACATTGTTTAAAAATCCTCCGAAATCGATCAAATCAATTAAATATACTAAATAAGCAATGAGCACTTTTTATATGGTTATGCAAAAATTTGAATTTGCCTATATAATAATTATTATTTATATCAACAATAAAAATAAATTTGGACTTCTTCCAAAAATAACCATACTATCAAATTGTAACATGTTTGTTCTTGGCAGCATTTCATCTGGTTCAACAAAAAATTTAGGTAGCAGACGCCAATCAAATCCAATTTTGAATAACAACTTATTTTCGATGTTTTATAGCTACCCGAAGTTTTACATTTTTAGACTAGACAGTCATCTAATTAACCCATTAACCCCATTAAAATTTAATAATAATTTTGACGAATTTCATAAAACGCACATAAGCAATAATAAATCGCAATAACAATCCATCAGAATCAATTAAATGTAGTCTTTGAAAAAATAGCAAATTGATAATAAAAAACCAAATAAACAATTTTTAACACATAATAAATATTAATAGAATTATAATTACTTAATTAGTGAATGATTGATTTGCAAAAAGTCGATAGAAAAACATCAAAACATTAAATGACGATGAGGCTAGACCGAAGTGTTGGCCGAAAAATATTGTTATGATAATATTGATTGAAATTGAAGTTTTTTTAAATCAATAACGATTTATTGCTTAAATTGCAAAGGTGTCATAATTAATATTTTGATGATTTATGATGAAGTGACTGGGATCATCATCATATAAAGAAAACTCTTCAGACCTCTTGATATTCCCATTGAAACATTTTATTGAACACCTATTGATTCGCTAGAGTTCGTTTATTATTTTATTCTCAAACAAAGTACCTTTCTGTCAATTCTCGCTTGAGTTCACAGTTTCAGAAATAAAATCGCCAACAATATATTTTTGCGATCAATATCCGCATTTTCAACACCTGTCGACTCCGGCGCGTTGAGGAAAAGAAGTCGCAAATGCTTGCTCAATAATTTCAGATTTTGACGGCCAACTGTCCCATTATTGAAAACAATTTCACAATTTACAGTGAAATTTAGGAAGGCATTAAAATGTCGAATCGAGATATTTTTTATTACACCGGAAGGCGTGAGATGTTCACTTTTTAATTTCTTTGGCCGTTCAAGGCTTTCGGAGTCCTTGAGGAAAAGACTCTCATGAGAAAAAGATGCGCCGATATGAAGATAAATGTAATTGAGATATGAAAGATTTTTTAATAAAATATTAACTTAATTAAATGAGATCTTGAAATTATCATCAATCTAAAAATCTCTATTTGTAATCTGTATTTCATCTGAAATTTATCTGGTCTGTAAAACTGACCCAAAACTAGATACCTATTCTAATTGAAAAATGTTTTTTCTGGATAGTTAAAAAAACAGATTATCACTATTATTACTTCAATTATATTATAACAACAAAAATTAATTATTGACTAAGAACAAAGCGATTAGAATTTTTTGTCCCTGTGTTTGATACATTTACCAGATACGGTCAACTAACTAAAAACTAGAAATGAAAGTCAACAAATTAGATCCCAATCAAAGTCATCACGACAAATATGAACCACATTACCAATTTGTCAATTACCATAAGAAATTGCCAAAAAAATCTGTCACAAGTAACATAATAAATACCATCTCTAATTGAACAATTATCGATTGTAATTTTTTCAAACAACAGACCTTGATATCAATCTCGATCTATTTTACGCTGACAAATTGATATATAATTATAAATCGAAACTGTATCATAGAAAAAAACCTCACATTCTTAAATGTCCACACAGTTTTTCGACAACATACACTTTTACTCAATTGACATTCAAACATTAATGATATTACCAAAATTATTTTTGAAAAAAAAAATCGAGAAACGATTCTGCAGTGACAGTGATGTATTTCTTGGGAAAAGGTCAGAGTTGTTCTGAAAACACGAAGATTGCCAATTATAGGCAAAACCTCGGCACGCCAAGTGCAAAACAAATGGATAGTAGTGACACAGATTTAAGTAGATAAAATTATTGAAATATAAAAAAAACATAAGTTGCCTTTTCGGATGTAAATGTCATATATGCATTATACAGGCTACATGTATGCATTTCAAAATAGAGATTGATTTGTTTACAAATACTGAAAAAGATTGGTTTAAAAAGCGTGTGCAACCCTATAATTTAATTCAGATTTAAAAAAAAATAATGACAATAAAATAATTCCATTACAAAATAAATTGTTTTAATAAAATTTTTATCCGAATCCTAAATTTTCTTTCTTTTGTTTGCAACAAAAATAGCACGTCTATTTTGCCATAAAAATCACGGAGTTCAGGGGTCATTGTATATTTTAAAAGTGAATGTTCTATGAAAATTATTACATAAGATTTAAACGATTTAATTATATTATCCTTGGCTTTATGACTTTAATGGAAATACTTTGTGATTGCGATTAAGATAAATTCAGATAGTTTCCGCTATTTTTGAAAATAAATTATAAATGATAATTTATAATAACTAATATAATTTGTAATGATCAAGACAAAAGTGTTTGTTAGTTTGTAAGTAACAATATTTTTATTATAGCGATTGATTTGGAACAATTTTAATCCGAACGGTTTGTAGCACTTGTGTATTCACCTGAGTTATTCTAAGGCCATCTTGCATAATTTTTCATGAATAATACCGTCGATAAATACAATAGGATTTATATTAATAAAATAACAAGAGATATTCAATGCCAGAACGATGTGTAGTAGCACATGCCGAGGCAATTAGCAATATGTTACAATCGTATACTACGTAGAAATTTAGTTTACATTTAATTTTAATGAGATTCACTTACATTATATTAGAAGTCATGTAAGATTTCTCAATATCTGCTTTCGGGTTCTTGGTATTAAACCTCAAGCACATTTATCCAGGACAACTAGCGAACTAGGAAAAATTTATAATGCAATCAGACCCAGACAAAATTACCATTATAGCGAGTTAGGTAAAAAAGTCATCTAAATAGATTATTATTATACTACTCATTGATAATTCAAAATTTATACAAATTACACACTTATTGAACTCTAATAATAACATAAATCACATACATACTTAATACATATATTTTATGTTTTTACTAGAAATAGTAATTATTCAAATACTTATATTTTACATCAATACAATTAATCAGATCACAATCTGACAAAAATGAGCAAAGAACAAATACTTTGTATACATAATCATATTTATACATATAATGTATCTATTACATGACATGACTAACGGAAGGACACAGATGTGAAGATCCTTATATCTTTCATTTAAATAAAATTTGCATACGGAAACCGTTGTTAACTATGTACTTGAATATTTGCGGGATATTGTTTTATGACAGTAATTATAAGGAGATATCTCAAGAGCGATCTTACAAAGAAATACCATATATCATGCAAGACGAAGCAACAAAGGCTATGATTAATTATTGTAATTTTTACGCGTTAAACGATCACCACGATACTGTTAGCAGAATGTAATTTATTATATTAATTTATATAAATATACATATATATATATATACTAGAAAACCCGACGAACTCCGTTTCGCCACCAGATGGTTTCGTGAGAAAGATATATATACTAGAAAACCCGACGAACTCCGTTTCGCCACCAGATGGTTTCGTGAGAAAGATGAAGAAATTTTGTTTGTTTTATATTTGAAAAGGAAAAATTTGATTTTATTGCACAACAGTAATGAATTTATTTCGATTACAAAAATAAAGTGTTTTTTAGTTAAACTTCTCTAAGTAAATGAAAGTGAATCCGCAAATTATCCGTTTCATGGAAGTGATCTTTGGTAAACCACATTTTTTGTTTTTTGGTCTGACGTTAACACAAACAAAGCGGATGGTTTTCCAACTCATGAGCTGGCAACGTGTAACTGCCCATGTGAAAAACAATAATTTTCTAATTGGCACGATGTCATGCACCATTAATTTTCTTAGCTATAAACCTTGCGGAGCTCGAGACCTTTCCAGCGAGTGCAAAATTGTCGAAATCGGTTCATGCGTTCTGGAGTTATTTCGTCAGGAAGGAAAAC